TATTTTTTACAGAAGAACAAAAGGAAATATTTGCCGTTATTAAAGTGTAATGTTTTGTACACATAGCTGACAAGTGGCCAAAGTATTCTTCATTCTTCCAAGTTTGTAAAACTAAATTACATATATGTCAGAGCCTACATCAAAAGTAAATGACTTGATAAAATCCTGGTTTGCAGCACCGTGTGGTGGAAAAGCTTCCTTGGTGCTAACTTTAGGGTTAGGCAGACCAAACCTGCTCTGTCCTAGATTATGCAGTTTGATTTCTAAAGTCAGGCCATATTTTCTTTGAGATTGCCATCATGTAACACGCTCCAGTCTTGAAACTAAAATCTTCTCATATTTTCCTATAATAAGGAGGATGCTTGTGTGTTCCTGGCTGCCCAGACTCCCAAAATAACCACTCTGAAACTGTATTAATTAAATCACTGCTTGGCCCATTAGCTCTAGCTTCTTTTTGGCTACCTCATATCTTAAGTTAAACCCATGTCCATCACTCTGTGTATCACCACAAGGCTGTAGCTTCCTGGGTGAAGTTCTGTAGTCTGTCTTGGTTGTGGTCTACATGTCTTCTCACTGACCTTGCCTTCTTTCTCCCAGCATTCAGTTTAGTTTTCCCTATCTAGCTCTGTTCTACTCTACCACAGGCCCAAAAGAACTTCTTTTTAAATCAATGGTATTCACAGCATACTGAAGGGAATCCCACATCATTTCCTCTAGATAGAACAGGCCAAAGCCCCATATCTGGACAGGTAAGACATAAAGTTCTGTTTATTAAGGATTAAGCTTCAGATGTTGGACTATTTGCCAGCACCTCCAATCCTTAAATTCATGCACCAAAGTCTCAGAAATAGAAATTGGGAGGACTGAAAAACTAAGTAGATCAAGGGAGCCTGCAAAAGGAAAGGAAACCCTCTCACTTGTGTCCCATAGATTGAGCGTCAAGAATTTTGAGACATCTAATAATTAAAATAACAAAAACAAAACTGTACAGATTTACTGCGTGGAAACAATATTCTGTACCTCTCCTTACAAAAAAGACATGTCAAAAGTGGTTTAAAGCAACTAATGAACCATGCTAAAATGAATTTTGCCAATGACTAAGACACACATGATCTTTGCATTTACCCATCTATTTTTACTTATCTGTAAACTTGTGAGTTTTTGAGAAAAATCCTGCAAACTGTATTATGACTAATGTTCGCACCCAGAACAGGTCTTCTGACCAACTTCTGGTCTATAAATAATAAGAGTTCCATTGATCCTCTAAAATTTTCCTTGCTTTTTCAGTCTGCACACTTAAGCAATGTACTTTTAAATAAAATTCAAGGTGTAGATAGTGGGGCAGGAGAATTTCTGTAAGTTGAAGGCCAGCCTGGACTATACAATGAGTTCTATTACAACCTGGAATGTAGTGTAAGACACTGACTAAAACAAAAATAAATAAGACATTTATATTCTCATTTACTAAAGCAGATCCTTCAAATAAAGATACATATACAACAATAGCTTCTACTTAGTCAAAACCCAACACAATGCTACTTAATAGCCGTCTCTTGCCTCTCTTGAAAATCCCACTCAGTCCTGGCATGTACACAACTCTCACTGCTCTCTTCTGTCTCCCTCTCCCCCTCCTTCTCTTTCCATACTCACAAAATATTAAAACAGTTTTTAATAAACTCAAACTCTGTATCATTAAAGGAAGAGACTAAATCTTAGTAGGACAGGAGCACCACTGTAGCTGATTAGGAAGCACTTTTGCTACCGATAAGGTTGATGTACGTCCTTGAAAATCAGAGTTTAACTATCTGTGGTGACATAAGGAGCATATTTAATAAAAGCAGGAACTGGAAGAATTGATCATATCATTCTATTGTGTTTTGGTGTGTGTATATGTGCATTGTGTGTGTGTGTGCGTGTGTGTGTGCGTGTGTGTGTGTGTGTGTGCTTTTGTTTGTATCAAATGTGTTTTTAAAGTCAAGGTCTCACACCACCTCTCATGATTGACTAGAAATCACCATAGAGCCCAGGCTGGCATTGAAATTATGCCAATCCCTTTTCTTCAGCTATTACAGGTATTAACTACCATAATCTGCTTAAGCATCTATAATTTACAATAAGAAATATTTGCAACAGTCTAAATGGAATTGTGAATGTCTGGACTTTGATGGTGATTGTAAAAGAAAGAATAAAGGGTAAGTACTGTGTTTTTACAAGAATAGCTGCAGATTCGGCACAGAGGTAGAATTAAGGACTAGCATGGACAAGGCCCCAGAGTTGATCCCCAGAACCGCACACACCAATAAAAGTATCTTAAAGACAAGTGAATATTGAAACAAAGGAATATGACATAGCAAAAAAAAATCAGTATTCAGTGAGAAATATATAAAGTTTAACCTTTATTAAGATTAAAGTAAATAAAGAATTCTAAAATTTCTTTTAGACAAAAAGTAGTATAGAAAAAATTTCACATAGAATGTAAATTAATAGTTTTGCCAATAAACATAGTTTATGCATAGATAGACAGATTGAGCAGAGATATTGGGATAAATCAGCCTTTGATGTATAGATTTTTTAAAGTTGTGATGATTTCAAGAAGGGTATTTAAGCAAATAAGAAGCATGCTTGGTAGTGAAAAATGGAACTTTGAGTTCCATTTATGAAGTTGAGAAAGTTACTCAACTTCTCTGAACTACAGGTATACTACTGTGTTATACTTGAAGAAGAAAAAAATGTGGGGAGTAGATTTTAATTTAAAAAGCAAAAATATCTGATCAATTAAGGGCAAAAAATAAAGATGGTGCTAAAATATTTGGGTTTCATTTAAGTCACAAAATTGAAGATTCCCACTAAACTCTATATTTAAGGGATTCAAAGTTGGAAGTTTAGCTTTCTTTCATGGACTGAAGATGGATTATCTTGCTGTATAATAGAAAAGATGACTCATTATTACAAGTAAACAATAATAGGTCAGTCGGTAAGCCTACTTCTGAAACAGCAAAAATAATGCCAAAGCTGCCTGAACACTGATAAAATCTGCATAATTAACTTTGATACTTGCTTAATTGAAGAACTTTAATTTTTCAAATATGTTTATTTTTATTTCATGTGTATGATTTCATTTTATGTATTGCCAACATATATGTGTGGGTGCCATGCATGTGCAGTGTCATCAGAAGAGACCCTTGCATCCTCTGCAACTGTACTTACAGCCAGTTCTGAGTTGTCATGTGAGCGTCAGGAACTAAATATCAGTCCTCTATGAAAGCAAGTGATGTCAGCAACTCTGTCATCTCTCCAGCCTGACACCAAAGTGTAATTTTATTTCACAAGAAAATAAGGGGATAAACAAAATACAGTTCTATTTTATCAAAAAAACTTTATTTGTAAAGACATATGAATATTGTTTCTAGGCATCTGATATGACTATGGTTTTAGGAGACTGCACACTCCTAAAGTACAAGACAAATCTTCTGGGCACTTGGATTCTGATGCAAGCATTCTTGACTTCATTACACTTTCACGGAATAAAAGTCACTGCATGGAAACAAAACACTGAAATGGAGACATCTAAGCAGGTCACTAGCTCTCAGACAAGCTCCTACATTGTTTTATATTGATGTTTTATTTATAAAGATTGATCTAAGAGGTATTTTCATCCATTATTCTAATTTTCATTAACTGGGAAGTGTGGGTCTTGCTGTTTCTTATGAATGTTGCAATTTAGAGGGTTGGACATGGTGCTCCACAAACACAATCCCTGCAGCACTCAGGAGGCCGATAGGTTTGAGGCCAGCCTGGTGTACATAATGAGCCCCAGGCCGTCCAGGACTACATACTGAAACCTGACTCAAAAACAAAGAAAGACACACATTAATAACATTGCAATTTCTATTGGGGTACATGATGAGGAAGTGCTTAACACCATCTCAAAATAACTTGTGGCTCTATTTTGGTATGCAAGTCAATGATTAAACATCTCATCATAGATATCACAAGATTCTTTTTCAGCTCCCCCATGTTCAAGAATAAGAAAAGTATCTCAGTTATCTCAACTTTCGCCAATATGTTTAGGCCTTCTTGGCACAGAGACGACTTCTTGACTTTCTTTGTATCGCCAGCACCTTGGACAGTACTGGCCACAAACCAGTTCCTAGCACCTGTTTTACAGCCTGAAATGATTTCCTTGTGATGCCATATTTGATGTCACTGGAGATATAAATTACTTAGATATAATTCACATGCATTCATTTCATTGTAACAAACTGCTTCTGTGTAAACGACTCCCAATTCATTGTCATTTCCCTCTTAAGACAGGATGTATACTTATTAAATAGTCTCCTGCTAGACATGTTGTTGCAAATATCTAAGTCTTAGCCTCCACAAAACCATCACAACAATGTAACAGAGGTTTAACATCTAAAAATGCCCTTTCAATACAAGGTTAATATATTCTCACCTGCAAGCTTACCAAGGGGATGTTTTGGGGGTAGAAAGGGGGTTCTTGAGCCTGTTCTCTAAAATAAAATTAAAAGGAAAAAGGGGAAAATTCCCTCATATTTTATGAATATTATTACTGTGGAACAATATGGATAAATATAAATTGGAAACACATTTTCTTAACCCACTGTTCAGCTAATACTTTATAGATACATTCTTCCTGACTCCTATTACTCATGTGCACAACAATAAAAAAAAATGTGGATCTCAGAAACTAACACCTTGTTTTCACTTGAAGAAACTGGTCTTTGGTGAGGTGATGGGGAAAAGTGGCCAGTGCCACTTCACCATCAGCAGCAACCGTCTCGGAAGCTTGTAAGTATTCGGTTTGCTCTAAATTAGTTGTTTCTTCGTATCTTTTCAAGAACCCTTTGTTTGTGGGACAACCATTGTCTATTCGCGGAAATGCCGTCCCAGGACTCCGCCCGAGCTGGGGGTGGGGAAGAAGCCGTGCGTGGAGAGATCGACTGAGAATTAAACTGAGCGAACAAAGAGAACTCCCGGCAGCAGGCAGCCACGCCAGCGCCTCTCAGCTGCATCAGGAGACTCCAGAGGGTCAGGCCGAGGGTGCAGGCTGCTCCAACTGGCCTCCCAAGGAAAAGAGCTCAAGTAAATAATTGATGGAGATTGATCGGACCCGAGACAAAGCTTTGCTGGAAACCAATACATCCGATTTTAAGCGGTTTCGGAGTCTTCTGCCAAATACAGGAAATGGGAGTAGGGCAAGGATTTTGATGAGCCAGGCTGATAATTCTCCATCTCGGGCGTGGCTCTGGCCTTTTTTGTCTTCTTGCCTCCCATCAGCTACCCCTGTTCTCCATCCTCACCTACTCTTTCCTCTTTAAGCAACCACTCCCTTTACTTCTCTCCTGCCCTCCCTCCAATCCCGCCCTCTTTCCAGCCCAGTCCGGTGAGGTCAGCTCATGAATACTGCTGTACTTCCTGGGGGAGCGTCTGGCACAGCTTGGTACCCTGAGCATTGTCCTGCTGCAGTTGCAATTCCAGCCCAGCTAAGCACCCGCCGGCTAGGAACCCGCTCCCAGAGTTCCGCGTCTTTGTAGTTACCGCCTTTGTTTGGCGAACCTGAGTGGGTGTGGATCCCATTCAAGCAAGCCTGCTCAGCAAGAAAGTCTTCTAGAATATTATGAAGTTGAACACTCTCTGAAAGATGGAAAAATAACCTCTAGGGCTCCGAAATATCAGGAAGAAAGCTGTGCTGATTTGCATCAACTTCCTGGAAGCGACGCCTCTGCAGAGAAGTGAGAACTTCTGGATTTTTAAGGAGATGAGGATGAGAAACGGGGTGGGTCCTGGGATAGATAGGATTTGAGATGGGAAGGGTTGATTTAGTCCTTACTTAAATTTCTTGGAGGATGATTTCTGCTGTAGAAAGCCTTGGGATGCAGCACCTTCCTACTGCTAGTGACAGTCGGCAGGTGCCTTAGATTGTCTGAGTTAGTTACTGAAACCCAAGTTTTCTCTGAGGTTAAACTTGTCTGGGACCAGGCTTCAGTTCATGACTTCTCAGCTCCTGTGTGCTTTTGCTTAGTTAAATATAACTTTGTATTGCCAGTATAATTAAGTTGGATGGCCCACATTAGTCTGACTCATGGTAAAGTAGGCCAGACATTCTAGCAGTGACTAACTTTGTTTTCCCCTCTGATGTAGTCTTTGCTTAATCTCTGTATTACAAAGTGAGCTGAAAAGAGATTGCAGAGGCAGAAAAGGAGGTGGGGTATTTGGTTGCTAGAAATGATTATATTCTCAAGATACAACAGATAATAACAGTAATAATGTAAGAAAGTTCCTGGGAAATCATCTCTCCTAAACGATGTGTGTGTGTAAGAGAAGTTTGTGTGTAGTCATGGCCTTTCTGTGTTTTATAGATAAAAAATGTTCTCCTGAAGAGTGGACCAAATGAACTAGTTGACTGGGTCACCGGACAGGAACACAGGGAAGAAGCTTGTTTTCCAGTTTAAAGTGGTCTATTTATTTTGGGAAGATAACCACCTATCTTACACCATAAAGGAAGATGAATAGCTTTCTGGGTATAGAATCTTCTGTTTCAAAATCTGGCTCTGAGTGAACATTCTAACATTTCTAAAATTTAAATTTAATTTTATGTGTATGGTATTTTGCCTGCATGTATATTTGTGTAACATATATAGACCTGATGCCCAGGGAGGCCAGGTCCCATGGAACTGGAGTTTCAGACAGTTGTGAGCTTCCATGTGGGTGTTGGGAATAGAATGTGGGTCCTCTGGAATAGCAGTCAGTGCTATTAACTGCTGATCCACTTCTCCAGGCATGAGTGGGCATTTTAAAGCTTCAGCTTAGTTTATTATATACCATCTAGGGGGATGGTCAAAACTGAAACTCTTTTCTGCATTGCACTTACAACTCAGCACTTCATAAGCACAGAACAAGTGAGTGTGGACAAATTCATCACTGAAAACTTCACAGCCTGCTTATCAGATTTCCCAAAAAGTATTTTTGAGCTAAAAAAAAAATCTCTTTGAGATTTCCAATGGCTGAATCTTATTTCTGATGCTACCATTTTTTTAATCTTGAAACTGGGGTTTATTTATAGTCACTCTTTGCATTTTCTTTTGTGTTCTGTTCTAAAGAAAGTTGGCTGTAATTATCTAAAGACAACATTAGGGGCCGGAGAGGAATCAGAAAAATGTCATTTATCTACAGTAGCTATTCTCTAGGATCTTACATCATAACAGTGTTTCTTCACTGACACCTGGGGATATGAATTAAATTAAAAATTTCCCCACTAAACTGTGTTTTAAATACAGATTTGAAGCTGAAGAAAGCTGTTTGACAACTATAATGTGTAAACATTTCCTTTGCCTTCTGAAGTCTCTTCAGGACCTTATTCCTTCGCTCCCTCCACCATTTCCTCTCCCATTCATTTTCTTTCTGAACCCGTGCCTAACCCTTTCCAAAACCTGCTACCAAAGGAACGCAAGCTTCATCTGCCTTTGACTGAGATGGAGTAAGACGGAAACAGCGCCAGGTTGGGCAAAGTGAGAAGTAACAGCCTTGTACCCTTTTCTTAGTCAAGGGTTTCATTAAACGCTGGATTTCCAAGTCTCCTTTTTTTCTCTGTCCAGCAAATTCACCTTTAACTCTGCAACGATGTAAACATACTGTATATTTCTCTTCTTTTATTTCCGTCCCAGCTTAGAAAGGAAGGTTGGTGGCAAAAAGGAAAGAAGAGGATGGTGTAGAGATGGACGGTTCCAAGTCACATCCGGTAGGTTCTCCCTAGACTGCCATGAGTCAGCCACCGTCCGGGGGCGCTGCCCCAGTCGCAACCTCAGCTTCTGCCGCCACCGCAGCCACGGAGGCTCGCCTGCACCCGGAGGGCAGTAGCAGAAAGCAGCAACGAGCTCAATCACCTGCTAGGCCTAGGGACAATTCTTTCCGACAGACCGCCGCGGCCACGCGGTCCCCTCTTGGCGTCGGCACTAAACTCAATTCCGTTCGGCAGCAGCAGCTGCAGCAGCAGCAGCAGCAGCAGCAGCAGGGTAACAAGATAACCGGTCGTGGCGCCTCTGGAGCCGGCTCCAGAGGATGCGGAGGCGGGGCGGAGAAGGCAACGCCCGTGGTACCCAAAGGGGCTGCTCCAGGAGCTGTCCAGCCCGCGCCTGGTGCTGAAGGGCCCCCCGCGGCGATCCTGGCCTCTGTGAGCTCCAGGAGGCCCGGGCCGCCAGAGGAGCCATCCCGGGAGATAGAATCAGTGCCCTCGAAAGTCGGGGAACCCCCTCCGCTCGGGGGAGGAGGAGGGGGCGGGGAAGGAGGAGGAGCCGGCGGCGGCCCGGGGGACCGGGAGGGGGGCGCTCCGCAGCCGCCGCCGCCCAGGGTTTGGCGAGGAAAAGGCGTCCGCGCATCTCAGAGGGGTAGTAGCGGCGGGGAGGGGGTCTCCCCTTCGCCACCCACCGCTGCTGCAAGCAGAGCCCCCGGCCCGGGCAGCAGAAACTCTGGAAGCGGCGTCGCAGGGGGCGGCAGCGGAGGTGGAGGGAGCTACTGGAAGGAGGGATGTCTGCAGTCTGAGCTCATCCAGTTCCATCTCAAGAAGGAGCGGGCTGCAGCGGCGGCGGCCGCGGCTCAGATGCACACTAAAAACGGTGGCGGTGGCAGCCGCAGCTCCCCTGTCGCCGGCGCCCCTGCCATCTGTGAGCCCCTTGTGGTCCCCTCCTCCTCCCCAATGGCGGCCGCCGCCGAAGGCCCCCAGCAGAGCACAGAGAGCAGCGGCAACGGCGGGGCCATGCAGGCGGCGGCTCCCCCTTCGTCGCAGTCGCACCCGCAGCAGCTCCAGGAGCAGGAAGATATGCAGGAGGAGATGGAGAAGCTTCGGGAAGAGAACGAAACTCTCAAGGTGAGGAGGATAGGGGGTGGGGACCGAATGGGGGAGGGGAAGCGTGGGGCCTCCGAGGATTAGGGCGTGTCCCTGTAGGGTTGGAAGGTTGCTAACCTGTTAGGGCTACAGTGAGGGAGGGAAGCTGGGAAGGTGGGGGGAGGTCCATGGCCTACTCCCAATTTGAAATGGAACCTAATATTAATGCCGTTGCGTTTCATTTAAAACCAAATCCAGGCCTTCATTTATCCAATTATCATGATTTGCCCCACTTTCTCATGGGCAGAGAGTGCTAGAGTAACAGAAAGAAAGAAGGAGGCCTAAACTGGGCCTGGTTTTCTAGTTTCTGCTTTTCTAGTTTCTGCTTTCAACCTCCTTTCACTCCTGTCTCCCAGAGGAGGAGGCAGTAAACCTGGGTACTGGGAGTAACCATGGGATGTATGCGGTGGGCATCTGAGGGACTCCAAGGAAGACTGATTGTGACCCATGATGTGTCACTGTCTCAGAACGAGATCGACGAGCTGAGGACCGAGATGGACGAGATGAGGGATACTTTCTTCGAGGAGGACGCCTGTCAGCTGCAGGAGATGCGCCATGAGTTGGAGAGAGCCAACAAAAACTGCCGGATCCTGCAGTACCGCCTCCGCAAAGCCGAGCGCAAAAGGCTCCGCTACGCGCAGACCGGGGAAATTGATGGCGAGCTGTTGCGCAGCCTGGAGCAGGACCTCAAGGTCTGCAGCTGTGGGGGAGGGGAACGAGGGCGCGCCGGGGTCAGTGGGTGGAGACCTTGGTGAGAGCTCTTTGCTTTGAAATGGCCTTCATTGATGACTGGCAAAGGGTGTTAGGTTGCTAGCGTTCACCACAAAATGTCAGCATCCCGGAAGCGGAAGGAAATGTTCAGTTTAGTTTGTGTGTGAGTGTGTGTGTGTGTGTGTGTGAAGGGGCCGTTTCCTTGGAGTAACTCTTTCAGAAGTAATGGGAAGAGAGTTCCTCTCTCCTGGGCTGAAATAAGGCCATCCATGGTTATGGTTAAACACAGACTCTACATGGCCTGGACTCCAGTGATTTGGCTTCTAATGATGTATTCCCACCGAAGGCCAGATGGAATCAGGCATTCAAGAGTAGCATTGTGGGTTTCTGTGGAGCACTGACATTCAGGATAACATTGAGAAAATAGTTAAGGTCTCCCCTTACACTCTAAACAGCAACCCATTTGAAGAAGGAGACTGAAGCAAAAGAAAATATCTCAATTTGTAATGAAATTGCCCATCCAGAACATATCCCAGAAGACAGGCTTTGAGACAGCTCAAAGCTTGCAGTACGCGTTTCCTTTGGGTGTTCTTTCTTCAGTTCAGTTTGACAGGAGGCAAATTTATTTTCAATGCAAACTGAATGTTAAACTCATCGCTACTGACAACCAAATATACCTTTATCTATATTAACTTCATCAATAGGAAAGTGAAGTTAATTAACCTAGAGGTGTTTTAAGGAAGCTCTGAGTAAGTCCTTGCTTGGTTCATTTTGTTTCCTTTGGGACGCAAAGCGACTCATAGGGAGCTGTAACATTATTATGTATATTATTGATTGATTTTGAAGAAAAATCTGTGAATTAGAGTTTATTAATGGAACCACTTTGGAGAGGCACCATTGGCACTTTAACACACACACGCACATGCACGCACGCACATACACACACACATTGTGTTTTGCCTGCATGTATGTTTGTGCCCCAGATGTATGTCTGCTGCCCTTAGATGCCAGAAGAAGGCATAGCATCTGGGAACTGAATACAGAGTCCTCTAGACAAGCATCCAGTGCTCTTAATCAAAAGCACTTTTTTCATATGCATGCAATGCACCTGGGCCTTATAGCAAGCTTGACGGTAGCCACACTCCCTTTATTCAGTCTAAACCAGGACTGGCTGTGTCCTGAGACTCTACACTAAATGTTAAGTATCCCTTCAAAGCTCTAGAGTCTTTAAGATAATCTCAAAAGTTGGGGTAAAAATATATACTAGTATTAAAACAGAAAAGAATCTCAAAATCTCAAGTAGTAGAATGCTTGCTAATCTTAAGTACTTGAAACTAGTCGGAGATATAAGGGGGAAAAAATTAAGTCCCAATACCCAGTCGTTAAAAATGTCTTTTTCTCCATTTCTCAGTGGGGGCAAGAGTGGAATCATGTAGCCCATGGTTTTACTGTAAAATTAAAGCAGATATGTTAAGTCTACCATATTGCTCTGATGTAGTGACGTGAAAGGAACAAAGTTGAGCCAGCCATCTGGCTACCTGTTAATTGTGCAGCCATGCACATCTTACGTAACATTTCGCCCCTCAATAAAGCAGATACAATCATAGCATCTATCCTGTGGGATTTTGGTGAGGATTATGTGATTGACATACAATCGGCACATAGATGAGGTATTGGAAACACTGCCACATAGTAAGTGCTATGGAAATATTGGCTTTTAATGCCTTCAATATGAGTCAAATTATATTTCATTGCTACAAACACATCATTGTAGGTTGCAAAGGATGTATCTGTGAGACTTCACCATGAACTGGAAAATGTGGAAGAAAAGAGAACAACAACAGAAGATGAAAATGAGAAGCTGCGGCAGCAACTTATAGAAGTTGAAATTGCGAAGCAAGCCTTACAAAATGAACTGGAGAAAATGAAGGAGGTTAGTATCTGACTTCATGATTGACTGGGTATGTTTGTTTAGCCTAATATCACTGCTTAGAATTTTTTTTCCTGATTATAACTTTCCAGTCTACTCAATATAGTAAGAACTATATTGAGTAAAATAGTCTAGCCTGAACTTCTAGTTTAACTTGCTATGAGCTACAAACTGATGTTTATGTTTCTGTTGTTGGAAAGCATGTGAACTAAATACATTTACTAGCAAACCACACATGCATGATATCAAGTTAAGAAGGGATAAAGTGACGTCTGTGTTAGTTGAGGCAAACAATTTTATAAGATTGTTGCTGTGTTCATAGAACAGTATGCTCCTATAGTGGACAGAGTCATAAATCCCATTCAATCCCGTCCAATCTTTATTTGAGTTTTCTCTATAACAATGTTTTCCAAATTGTTTAATGTTCAGAATATAATCCCAAAGATCTTTCACAGCAGCCAAGTCAATCCCATTGGAGCTCTGATGAAAGGTTTTGTTTGTTTCCAGTTGGTATCTACCCAATTGTACCTCAAAGTAACCCACCTTAGTTCTGTCTTTTGGGTAAAAGATTCAAAGTTCTCTTTCCCATGTCCATTCTGTGAACATCCAATATTCCAAAAGAATAATGATCACAGAAAATAATCAAAGAAGAAAACAAAAAGTCTATCAATAAGTAATTACAGTCATGATAAACATTTTCACTGTACTAAAATATTTTTAAGCTACTTTGAATTATTGTCAGTGTAATGTATGAAAACTATGAGCAAAAAATAGGCAAAAGAAGAAATGGAGTCCTGAACAATTTTCTCTGCTTGGAATTATAAAATTTCAAAAATATTCATCTTTGCAAGGACCTAGTATTGAGCCACTTGTGTCTGTTATTAACAGTGAAAATATCAGCAGCACAATTAAGAGTCCGTAAATGTAAGGACTCTGAAATGCTCTTTGTTGGAGCAGACTATTTTTTGTGATCTTTGTCCCCAGGTTTTCTAATATTATCCTAACTTTAAACACCTTTTCATTTTATTTTTAATATTTCATATATTAACTAATTAATTTTTGAGATAGGATCTCTCTGTGTAAGTCAGGAATTTTTTATATAGTCTAGGATGGCCTCAGGCTTGAGGTGTCCTTCTGTCTCTGCCTCCCAAGGTCTGCAATTGCAGATGTGTGACACTCACATTTTACCTAAGCATCCTTTCAACATGGCAAAATAAAAAAAAAAAAAAAACACCGTGGTTGAAATATGTTTCTTGGTCATAAGTCCAGAGTGTTTCTGTGTTACTGTCGAAAAATACAAAGACTGAGAATCACATATTAGACCTTCACCCAGAACTAATGAAGTGACCTTGAAAAGCCCATAACTTGTACTTTTCTCTATTCTAAACTGTAAAGGTTGTTTCAGAGGATTTTCAGTGTCTTCTCCTATGACATAGTTTATCTTGCAGTTCAGGACACTGCCATTTAGAGAACAAATCTTATTTTTTCCCTAAAGTTATGAAATTAAATACAAAGTTATTGTATGCATATGATCTTCAGAATAGTGTACAATTGAAGAGTTTCAAATTTTGTGTTTCTGGTGGGGGAGGGAGTGAAGAAGGTAGCTGGTCAGTTTGCAAGGATTGCTATCACCAAGTACTAGATAGTTTACTGTCTCACAATCCTAGAGGCCAGAGGCCCAAGAACAAAGTTTCAGCAAAGTTGGTCCCTTCAGAGGGCTTTGAGAGAAGGATCTGCCCCAGGCCTCACTCCTCAACTTGTTGCTGGTCACCTTCATGTTTCTAAGACAGGCTCCCTGTGGCTACCTGCTTAGAAACTTCTGAGTTGCCCCCATTCTCTGCGTGTGTGTGTGTGTGTGTGTGTGTGTGTGTGTGTGTGTGTGTTTGTGTCTGTACACTGGGTGGATGTTTGTGGAGGCAGAGGTCAGCCTCAGGTAGTGTTTCTCAGGAACTGTCCACCTTGTTTGTTAAGATAGGGTTTCTCACCAGCATCTGTGGCTCAAGGATTAGGCTAGATTGGCTGGCCACAAAGCCCTGGGGATCCATCTACTCTTATTTCTTCAGTGAACGCTTACAAGCATACACCACCATGCCCAGACTTCTTCTTCTTTTTATTTCAAGACAGGTTTTCTTTGTGTAGCTTTGAAGCCTATTCTGGAACTCTCTTTGTAGACCAGGCTAGCCTTGAACTCACAGAGATCTGCCTGCCTCTTCCTCCCGAGTGCTGGAATTAAATGCATGCACCACCATGACCTGGCCACCACTCAGTCTTTTTATGTGGTGCTAACTAAGAATGCAACTCAAGTACTTGAGCTTACAAAGTAAGCATCTTGTTGTCTGGCATATTTCTCCAACACCCAACATTTCCTGTTTGTAAGCACACAAGTCATATTAGACGACGATCTTCCCCAATGGATTTACTTTCAACTGATTATCTTTGTAAAGAAATTATTTCCAGTTAATTTTCTCCTGCCTGGATATCATCTCCTAAGTGGGTATGAGGATTTTAACATGAGTTTGAGGAAAAGGGTAAAAGAAAATCACTCAATGACTTATTGTGGGAAAAAGAAAGTCCATTTTTCTCATGAGGCTTCTCTCCTGTTCATGTGTGATTTTATTTTGGTCTTGGCCTTTGTTTATACCATTAAAAAACATTCAACCAATACCATACCTTACTTGGTTGCTGGGGATAAAAAGAGAACTATTTTGTAATTTGGCAATATGTGGATATTTCTCAAGTGAATACGCAGAAACTTGTGTTTAAGAATGGCTAAAGCTGAGGAATTGGGAGATAGCTCAGTGCCTGAAATAGTCACTGAGCAAGCATGAGGGTATGAGTTTAGATTCCCAATACTCTTTGTAAAGTCAAGTAGGCCATGAAATGCATTGTGCATCTCTAACCCTGGTCCTGGGGAGATGAGGGGACAAAGACAGGCAGATTTTAGGGCCTCTCTGTCCAGAAAGCCTAGTTGATATGGTGAAATCCAGATTCAGTAAAAGGCCATGCTCCCCCTCCACAGGAGGAAAGGGTAGAAAAAGAGCCCTAACACTAACCTCTAATCTCTACATGTTCATACACAAACACATACAGATGTATCTGCAAGGAAAGAATGGCATAAGTGTTTTCTGTTTTTCATCCTGTGTCCTGAAAAGGGGAAAATGCTCGTAGACCCATCCACTAGCCATACAGGTGGGCCTTCCTCCATCTTAAAATAAAAATCACTTCCCTGGGATGCTTTTTTTCTTAAGTACTCTGGCTCTCGATTAGAAAAACGTGGGTACCTAAAGATAATTCATGTTCACCGAGGTGTAATCAAACCCTCATCTTAAACTCTGACTAAATAAGACAGCCATGGAAGTCCAGGAAAATTAAGCAGCATTTATGCAAGACATGAGCTTTCTGTGTTTGCTATGTGTGGGGTTCATATATTTATGTTCATGTGTATGCAGGTGCACTCACCTGCATTTACACTTGCATGGAGGTCAGAGGTCAACATCAGGTATTTGCCCTTATTGATCTTCACCCTGATTTGTTTAAAATAGTGTCTCTCACAGAATCTGGATGGAGCTCACTATTTTGGCCAGATTGTCAGGAGCGCGAGGGCTTCATGCTGCTGCTATTCCTTCCACAGATACTGAGATTGCAGTTACATCCTGCCTTGCTGGACTTCTATGTCATTGTGGGAGATTTGAACTCAAGATCTTGTGCTTATTCAGCAGGAACTTTCCTCACTGAACAATGTCCCCATCCCAGCACATTAGCTTTTAAAAAGTAACTTTTTACTATGAAAAATAAAATTAGGAAATGTTTGATGGGAGGAGGGAAGAAAAGTAGAAGTTTGAGAAGTCTGGCCTGGGGACATGCAAAAATTACTAAATGTGATGAAGAAAATTGAAAACCAATCTGACAGGTATAACCATCTGCCCAAGACTGACTCCATAGGGTCAGAAAATCACCTGTAGGAAACAGTCTAAAAATCAGAAGTATCCCACTGAAATAAGGTATCATGGAGTGATCATGTTGTTCTAAGAGAATGAGCTCAGGCTGCAGGGGTGTCTTGGGAGGTCAATGCACTTGCCTTCAAGTGTGACACAGTCTGAGTTCAACTCCCAGAACCCATATCTTGAAAGGAGAGGACCAAGTCCTTAAAATTGACCTCTGAATTCCATATGTGGCTATGGTATCCCTCAAATAAATCAAAAAATATATATGACAATAAATGAAAATAAGATGAGCTGCCGTAGTAGCTAGGCTACTTGGTAGGGTGGGGTTCTTAACCACTGGCTGTCTCATTTGTAAAGTGCAGATGTTTTCTCCTTGCTCATGGAGTAAAATAGAACCATGTCAAATTCTGAAGAAGAAAAGACACTAGTTATAAAGTCATGAAATATTAAATAAAAGCAGACTGCTAATCTTAAGATTTTAGCTGCATATACGGATCCATATAGATGTTGAACAGTGCCCTTGATACCAATAGACCATCTGCTAGAGTTTGGAACCATTTACTAACACTTTAACTAGCTTCAAGGGTATTGACCAATTGCTCTCAGAGCTGGTGACTGCACAGAGTCCTGTGCACCTGCACACATCCATCTGCTTATTGTCTTCCTCTGGTAGGATGGAGTAGGCACTTGGGAGGAAGAACTGAGTAGAACCAGGATGGGGTAATTAGTTTAGGCTTTTGCAATTTGTCCCTTATATTGAAAGAGCTGATATGCTGCCAACTGCAAACAAGAGGTACCTCTTAAATCGCTGCCTTCGAATCTTAATAGCATTTTCATCCCCGTTATGAAACATTGATTTGCTAGTAGCACTATGTCTTCTTCCTGGAGAGAAATGCTTTTACCTTTCTATAACTCAGAGAAAGTGGCCATCTGGCTTTGGGCATCATAATGGATCAGGGCAATAGAGAGTTCTGTGAAAGTTACTGTACCCAAACAAGGAGCTCTTCGGATGTCAGGGAAGGTTTATGCACCAATCAGATAAAGTTAGGGTTTTGTGGG